TGTGGCTGCCGGCCACGCGCGCTGTGAGGGGCGGGGCTGACACACAGCCAGGTCAGGACACTACGCGTGCAGCAGCCAAATTCATAATATAGCGACAAGCGGGAGACAACGTGTGACTTACTCACGGGGAATTTAAAGTGAAATGGAATTGGTTACAAAACCTAACTACACATCTCGACTCTCCGGTGTGACAGTATTTTGGATTCAAGCCAAATCAATGAGGCGAACCTACGTTCTTGAATGAGCCAGGCGGTGTGTCGCATTCAGTGTGGTGCTAGTTACTGAGAACCAGTAACTAGTTACCATTACTAGTTACTTCATTTCAAAAGTAACTCAGTTACTTTACTAGTTACTTAAACCCAAAAGTAATGCGTTACTGTGAAAAGTAACGTTTTAGTTACTTGAAAAAAGGTCTCCCATTAATGCCCTTATAGCCTTCATTTCAGTACTGTCATTGCATTGGAGAATAATACAATCTGTTGATCAACTTGACATGCATTATATGCAATCTGGATTGCATCGATATTAGCTGGCTTTCCATTTTTGTATATTCTTTCTCCAGGTAGTTGGAAAAAGTTTTACGTCCCATATGCCGCCCGGACATGCTATCATGCTAACTAGCTCCCTGAAAGCGGGTGACTCCACTGTAGCAATAGCCTGCATGTGTTCTACAACATACCGTGCAATGGCTTTATCGACTTTTCCCTGGCTAGCAGTCCCTTGGTTAAAATCCAGCCGCTGTTGCTTAGGTGGAGGTGGAGTGGCGTCGGCTGAGTCTCTGTGGTCTTAGCTACTAGCTTCGTCCCAGCATGTTGTTTTTGCATTTGTTTTAAGAGATTTGAATTACTGGTTTGGGCAGTAGATAGATCTTTGACCCGCCAGGACACAACTTACATTTAACAGAAACGTTCTTTTCTTTGTGCTCGACAAAAGTGAAATAGTGAGAATATCTCCAGGTGGAGAAACTAGACTTGAGCTCCGCTGCCGCCATGATAGTCTTGTTAGTAAACAACACAAACACGCCCACAGCCCGTCTCCGCATGTGACACAGGAAGTATCTAAGTACATTTACTCAAGTACTGTACTTAAGTACAGTTCTCATCTCTGTTCGCCTTGCTGTTGACTATATTAAAAAAAATAACGCAGTAACGGAGTAACGCACCATGTAGTTAGTGTACTAGTTACTGCCAAAAATAACGGCGTTACTTGTAACGCGTTAGTCCCAACACTGGTCGCATTTGTTTAACCTGTTAAGCACTGAGCCTGTTTTTCAGGTCTCAGGCTCGAAAATGACATTCCCAGAACAAATGACCATATCTTCCCTTCTAAAAGGGTTAAATTAATAATCTTTTTTCTCAAAGTAATGACAAACCTGTGAGTTGGATGTAGAAAAGTCAGAATCAATATAGATGTTTTTTATTTTAAAGAATTCAGATTGAACATAGTAAAAAACTGTAAATTATAGTGTCCGTTAAAAAATGGAAAACTACCCTTGGATGATGGTAAGGTAGACTAAAAGCTTTAGGAATCCAAAGTACAACATATAATAAGTACCCTGTATCAAGATTGATGCAAAACAAGTGACATTTGACCTTTTTAGAGAGGTTTAGCAAAAAAACAACACTTCTGGGGTCATTTGGGTGGATTTTCCATATCTCTGGCCCCCCCTTGGTCGATTTTGCTGATTGACATATCTTTCTAACCGTCAGAGCCAATGGAATTTGAGGGAAAGTCCCCAATACACACTCAGCTTAACAAATAAGGAGTGAGAGAGACGCGTAGAAAAACCGGAAGCTGCGCTAATCTCTGGTGGCTACCATTAGCAGCCAATTCCTCTTCTCTGATTTTTGCATAAAAATGTAATTATGGATTATCAAAATGTTTTCAAAGTGACAGACACATTACTATAACCCAGGGGTGCCCAACCAGTCGATCGCGATCGACCGGTCGATCGCGGGGAGATTCCCAGTCGATCGCGAGATGTGTCAAAAAATAGAACAACAACATTCTGTTGTATCGTTAATGTCCTGTAACATAACCTTCCTGTCCAGAATAATGCACATGAACGCATCAAAGCTTTGTGATTGGCCGGCGAGACCCCATGTGTTGGGGCGTGACTGGTGGGCATTGGGCAGTATTTCGCTGACGTTGTCCGTGTCAACAGGAGTGACAGTCCGCACACACACAAGACCGCAATTATGGCAGAAGCAAAAAAGCCCAAAATATATAATTTTCACTCCGAGTGGGAGGATGATTATTTTTGTATCTATTCCAATTCAAAGTCCATCTGTCTCATCTGCAATGCGAGCGTGGCTTTATCGAAGAAGGGTAATTTAGGAGTGGCATTTCAAAACAGTGCACAAACGCTACGAGACGGAATTCCCTCCTAATTCTGCCCTACGCTCCCAAAAGGCGAGGGACCTGAAAGGACAGCTAAATGCACAGCAGTCCATTTTCACCAGGCCCAACAACAAGAGCAAGGCTGCTACCAGAGCATCTTATCGTGCCAGTCACGTTCTTGCGAAACACATGAAGTCTTTCAAAGACGGCGAAGTTGTGAAAGAAGCATTCCTGGAGGCTGTCGACGCGCTTTTGGGGGACAGTAAAAATAACAGAAGCATTTCAACAGGCTTTTGATATAATAAAAACTCAAGTTGGATACCGTTATTAATCAGCTGTAAGTTTTAGTTTGTTTGAACTTATTCATTATAATTATTGTACAAAATGGTATAAGAATGCAAACATTCAGATCTGTTCCGTTTAAATTGATTATAGTCTATTATCAATTCAGGTTAAGAAACTAGTGTTGCTTGCATCCTATTTTAAAAATGGCATTTATTTTTATACTCTACTAAAATGCATCAAAAAAGGGTTTGATTCTATTAATTTTGTCTTTTTTATTGCACTTTGGCAGCACATTCCTGTGCAGCTTCAGATCTGAGTTGTCTTATTAGAAAGCCTAATTTATACTTTTGTAGCAACACTATTTTTATATAATGGCAAAGAAAGGGTTCAGAGTCTTTTCTTTTTCCCTGTGTTATATGTGGCAGCACTGTTCAATGTTTCTTGAAAACATTACCCACTGTAGTATGTGACGTGTGAATAAACACCAACTCTGCATCAACAACACTTGTGTAACTTCGGTTAAATACTTGTATGTGTGTAGATTAGAAAGAGGTAAGACAAAGGATCTGCAGTATTTTATGAAGTATTCATCGTACAAAGGTCAGTCTTATAAAAGTAGAAGTGTGTATTTACCTGGTAGTAATGGCTACGCCTCTCTATTTGGACTGGTAGATCTCGGCAGACTGGCAACTTTAAAAGTAGCTCTCGGTTCAAAAAAGGTTGGGCACCCCTGCTATAACCCATGGATTAACCTTCAGCCGCGTTCTTTCTCGTTGTAATGCCATTGACCACGACTTTTGATCAGAATAACAGCTAAGGTGAGCATATCTCCATGTTTTGCAACCTAAAGCTACTCGTGTGTTGTCTGTATTTGCTTCCCCTGTCACGAGTTCAGATCGCTCAGTGATGATCCTTATATTTCTATAATCTGTGGACTCTCAGGATGTTATCTAAACTTGTTTGTGCAGATTCAATAAGTATATCGATCAGTGTAGCTAGAGTTCTGTGCTAACGGCCTTAAGATTGTTTCACTCATAGCTAATTCAGAGGCTCGGCACTAGCTTTGTGGTTTTTTTTTGAAAAAAAAGAAAAAAAATCAGTTAGCTGAGTTTCTTCCCGTTACATGGATATAAAACATTCATAGTTTATTGAATATTAAGATGCCCTCAGACGCTGTTTCCTGCAGATGACGCATTTTTCCCCCCGGTATCGGGGGTGCTGTGTAGAAGAGGCTAAAAAGGTAGCGACAAAAGCAGGCAATACCACGCATTTTAAAACTACACCTAAAACACAACCATCCCATTCTGTTTTCCCAGCTGGTAGCAAACACGGCAGCTGGAGATGGAGAGCCCCCACCTTCCCGACAGTTTACAATCAAAGATGCATTTTCTCAACAATGCAAACATGTCTACTGGAGCAGGTCTACTTGAGCATGTCTACTTGAGCATGTCTCCCTTGCTTTGTCCTACGCAAGCAACCTTCCCACGTCAATCCTACGCAAGGCTTTATAAATGAGGTCCCAGGTTATGAGACAGCTAGAGAAACTAAACCAAGGCAAAGCTGCGGTATCAGCCCCAGGATTCTGAAGACCTGTGCCAGCCAGCTTCCTCCTGTTCTACAACACCTGTTCAACCTGACCCTGTACCTGGACGACTCCTTCTGGGCTAAATGACAATCGCCCATTAGCTCTCACACACATGTGATGAAGGTGCTGGAGAGACTGGTCTTGGCCCATCTCAGATCGTAGATGACATCATTTTGTTGACCCTCTGCAATTTGCTTTTATAGCCTCACCTGGGGGTGGATAACGCCATTATCTACCTGCTGCAGCGTGCTAACTCGTACCTGGATGGATCAGGTTGCACTGTGAGAATCACCTTTCTTGAATTCTCCAGTGCATTCAACACGATCCAGCCACGGTTACTGAGTGACAAGCTGCAGACTATGAGGGTAGACGCATCCACCATCTCCTGGATTACAAATTACCTCACACACAGGACTAGGGCTGTGCAATTTAATCGATCCTGCGATATATATCGATATTTTGTTTCTCGAGAAAGTATCGATATTTCAGCCGCGGGTATCGATACATTAAGTCCCATTCAAATCCCCCGTGTTCTGCCTGGCACTCTGCTCCCTGCCCATTCCCCCCCGTTCGCTTTGCATGAAGAGCGATTACATCAGCCAGCCGAGCCGCTAGTGTCGCTGTAGAGCATTTCTAGATACACAGACGCCGGTTTCTTCTTCTCGCAGTGAGTGCGAAGCGGTTCAGGAGAATGGCGGCACACATTAACCCAGCACCTTCGTGCTTAAAAGCAGATGTGTGGGAGCACTTCGGCTTTAAAAAGAAGGAAAGCAACAATTTAGATAAAACTATGGCGGTTTGCAAGCTGTGTCACACAAACGTGAAATACTCTGGAAATACCACTAACTTACGATCCCACCTACAACGTCACCACCCGGACAAGGTAATGCTAACTCAGGAACTCAAGAAGCTGCGGCCGCGGCATGACCCAAAACAAACCGTGCTGGACAGCGATGGCGGTTGTTCCCACAAGTTCCCATCTACTTCACCAAGGTCGCAGAAGATTACAGAGTCCATTGCCTACTTTATTTGTCAGGATTTGAGACCTTATTCCGTGGTGGAAAACATAGGCTTTCGGCGCATGGTGAACGCGATGGAGCCCCGCTATCCTGTTCTAAGCCGCCAACACCTCACCAAGGTTTGTGTTCCCAGGCTGTATGCTCAGACAAAGGCACACGTCAAAGCCTCCCTGGGCAAAGCGGAGAGAGTTGCCCTGACGTGCGACGGGTGGACCTCGCGAACAACTGAAGCATATGTCACCATCACGGCCTACTTTATTAACGAGGAATGGGAGCTTGTTACGTATGTATTACAAACCAGGGACATGCCAGAGAGCCACACCGGACACAACCTGGCAGAACATCTAAGAAAGGCCCTCGCTGAGTGGGAAATCACAGAAAAGGATCCAGTAATTGTCACTGACAACGCGTCAAATATGACAATAGCAGCTGAGGAGGCAGCGTTCACACTTCACGTCAAATGCTACGCACACACCCTAAATCTGGCTGCACAACGTGCCCTCAAAATCACAGCAGTCGCACGCCTGTTGGGAAGAGTGAGACGCATTGTGAACTTCTTCAGACGAAGCACCACAGCCAACCACATGCTGAAAAAGAAACCGAGGCTTCTACAACTACCAGAGCACAAGCTGATGACGGACGTGGTTACAAGGTTTGTGCGTAGTTACTTTTCAATTGTTTATTTTGTTTTTATTACTAATTTATTTTGTCATTAATAAATACATTTAAATAAATCTATAAATAAAGTTTCTTACTTTTATTTAACTACAGGTGGAACAGTGCACACGACATGCTGGAAAGATTCCTTGAGCAACAACCGGCCATCTGTGCAGCCCTGCTCTCGAGTGAGGTGAGGAAGACCGAGAAGGATCTGTGCACACTGACTGAGTCAGACGTGACAACAGCTGAAGAAGTAGTCAGCGCGCTGAAGCCCATGAAAGAGGCTACACAGTACATGTCCAAGGAGAAGACCCCCACGCTGTCAGTCATCGCACCCCTCCAGGACACACTGATCAATGGACTGAAACCGATCGAAGGTGAATCTGCAGTCATAAAAGAGATGAAGGCTGCCATGTCTGGGGATCTTCAGAAGAGGTACATCGACCTCAGGGCAACTCTCCATGCATGTTCAGCAGTTCTAAAGGCATAGATTTTAAATACACTAATTAAAAGATTTATTACAGTGAAAGCTCATGAATTTCATTTCATGTTGACCTATTTCATTTAGTTATCCCTTTGGAGTGTGGTCGAAGAGGGCACAGGAAAATGTAATGGTAGCGCTGATGATGAGGGGATGGCATCCGAAGAAGAGACTGTAGATGACGGTGTGCGATTCAAGGAAGGAGAGAGCAGTCAAGGTCAGTATCACCCATTGTTATCCAGTGAAGCACACCGTGTTGTCTGAACCTCTGAGTAGGAATTATGGAATGTGATTAACTATAAATAATGTGTTTTTGTTTTTATTGTTTATTTATTTGAAGGTCAGCATCCTCCACCCAGGAATCCAAAGCCGTCTTGTCCACTGGCTGCCCTTCTTGGTGGTGAACGATACGGTGGTGGAGCACAACCCAAGACAAATACCCAAGAGAACCAGGCCAAGGAGCAGATGACCCGCTACAAGGAGGCAGATCTCTTGGAAGTGAAAGAAGATCCACTGGTCTGGTGGAAGGAGCACCAGTATGAGTATCCACTCTTGTCACACCTTGCTAAAAGGTACCTGTGCATCCCTGGCACTAGTGTCTCCTCGGAGAGGGTCTTCTCTACTGCCGGAGATATCATCACTGCTCAGAGAAGTGCACTTCTCCCAGACCACGTTGATCAGATTATATTCCTGAACAAAAATCTGAAGAGAATGTAGATGCAGTTATGTAGAGAGGAGCCTTTCTGTTTAGTGTTTTTGGCTTAAATGTTACTCCTTTGGACTTTAATTATTGGCAGGTACATTTTACATTAAATGTTGTTCTTAGTGACTTGAATTATTGGCTACCTCATATTCTGTGTTAAGCTAAAAATGCTGTAAAAGAATCTGTTCAGAACAGGCCACCTGCTGCACCTTTTAATTGTCCATTGTGATACTGCACTTTATGTACTTACGTTTCAAAGGCTTGTAAATTACAGTTTGCACTGTTTCAATAAATGAAACTAATTTTCTCACCACATATTTTGATTCATTTTGTCCAGCATTTGCAAGCTGTAGACTCTGTCTAGTCAGAGCCATATATTGTATAATTGATGCTTTCAGTTTTTAGTTGAATTAATTCAATCCAAGTCAATCGAACACTCACAAGATGTCACCAAAATCACACTGTCCCTTTAAAATCTTTCAGAAAATGATGTAAGTGTATCGAATCGTATCTTTGGCTGAATATCGTGATATATATATCGTATCGTGAGCTGAATATCGTGTATCGTATCGTGAGATTAGTGTATCGTTACAGCCCTAGAAGGACACAATATTTCCGGCTGGGCAGTGCTCTGTCTGATGTGGTGGTTGGTAGTACAGGAGCCCGACAGGGGAATGTACCCTCTCCTTTCCGTGTCACCTTATACACCACTGACTTTAAAATCAGCGTTTCCGCCAGGGGGGGACAACACAGAACGTGCACGATTTGGACGCGATGAGTGGTGCTAGTGGTGCATGCGCGTGAGCTGCGAGCACCAGAGCCTCGCAGCGGCGAAACTGAGGCTCCGTGGTAAACTGTGGTAACATGAAGAGCCGTTTGGGAGCCGAAATAGCCGGCGCTTTAAGAGAGCCGAGACAAATGATCCGGCTCACTAACGTAAAAAGACAGTATCTATAAAGGGACGGCTCAAGTCAAAATTCAAGCACGCCCCATCCCCCCTCTCAGGGTGGACGCTCTCTCAGCCCTGGTCTGGCGGAAACACTGCTTTAAAAATACAACTCAGTCATGCCACCTGCAGACATTTTCAGATGACTGATGGTTGATTAATTTTTGGAGTGGACTGGAAGACATTATCTGCTTCTGAATGTGGCAAGGGCACCACGGCAGGGCCCAGGAGGTGAACGGGGACATCTCCAAGTAGCAGTCTACACTCCATATTTAGGTATGGTCGGGGACTTGAACCGGCAACCCTACGGCTCACAGTCCAAACCCCTACTGACTGAGCCACTGCCAGACATCTTGACAAATCTTGTCCCAGTCTGTTGTTGCCAGTGCACTCTGATGGGCGCGCAGCATCAGAACCGGTGACACCAGCAGACTCAATAAACTCGTTAAGAAAGCTGGCTCAGTCATCTGCGTCAAACAGGACACTTTTGTTGTGGTGGAGAGGAAGGCTGAAGTCGAATAGTCCATTTAGCTTAGGAACGTCTGCTTGACGCCGGGACGACCGGCTGCCCTCCCCGACAGGCGCACGGACGCGACGGCCCGCTCATCACTGTGCGCACATCTGCGACCGCAGTTTTAATTAGGGCCAGAGCACGATGTGCCGGTGGAATTTTATTATCACTGGTCCACCATTGTAACCACTGGCCCAAGAGCATTCGTCCAAAAAAGTCGACTAATAATGAAGAAAATGAACACATTTGTTGCAATAGTAATGTATGCACATACTACATTACTACAACATTTGGATCATCAGTTTTTCCTGAATTGTTCATATTTGGTTTATTAAAAATAATTATATTGTGGTCATTGTTAAAAAAAAATCTGCTATTATTGAGTATTATTATTAGTATAATGCACTTTCTGCCTTCCTGTCATTCTCAGGAGTTAGAAATGTAATGGCTATGTAATAGATTAGAACCGTCATTATCCTAAACTGCTGGGACATTTCCCTATAGCCAATACCTTTTATATGTTCTACTCTTCACTTACTTGTCAGCATAGGTCGGCATTGATGTACAGAGCCGACAGAAGACCTTGTCTGTATTGGCATCATATAGAGTGGTGCAGTGACGCATCCTAAAACCAGGAAGTAAGCTGCTGGTTCCCTCGACAAAAAAGCAATGGGATTTCTCCATAGGGTTTTGGAAAATAGCTCGAAATAAGGTCTGTGGAAAACAAGATAAATGCACGTTTTGTTCAGCCGGATAATATCCACATGTCTACCCTACTTTTATACATTTCTAATCATAAAACTAATCGATACATTTATGATTCGAAAATTATAAAAGGATTCTAGGACACGTCACTGCACCACAATATAGAATTTAGTATAATATAATAATTTAATATATAAGCAAACTCCATCGATCAAGCCATTGTGGTCGGCTGAAACTTTCTCTCCCTCTTCTTCTCATACTCCCTGTCACTCTCCTTTAACTCCTCCGGTGACTTTCTTTTATTTGAAGATTGTTTTTTGCCCGGTGCTTGGCCGGATACCGCTGGTATTAAAAACATTTTGGCGAATGGTTAGGTGGCGCGAAAGTCTGTAGTGAAGGAGCGCGCTCCCACTCACGGGAGCCTGCTCTTGTTGCTATCCGCAGCAAACAGCTGTTTGCTTTTCATCCAACAACCGCCTCACGAAACGCTATGTTGTAGCGTTAAAACGCGGAACAACTTAACAAAATTGCTAGTTTTTGCGCAAAAAAAATTAACGCCACTAATTATTTTAACGCGATTAACGCATGTGTATTTTTTTTCCTCGGCCGCCCCGTAGTTTCAGAGCGCATCGAGTTTAAAATACCATCTACAAGCTGATTCTGACAGCCCCGCTCCTGCCGCCCGCTTGTGGTAGACCACACTTCCACGCTCACCGGCAGGCACCTATTGGGAGGACCGGGAGGGTGTGTGTATGTGTGGCCCGAGCGAGCGAGAGAGAGACCTTCCGTGCATTGTTGTTGTTAGCATCTGGTGCTAGCTAGCTGCGCTAACAGATATAAGGAGCTGTTTAAATGAAAACAGAGGAGCGACATTTCGCCACAACTGCGCCGAGCACTTGACTTTATGCAGGAAGCCAGACAGTGGGACATTGTACAAAAAGTCAGCACACTCAGTGCGCAACATGATTGCCCCACACACACACAAAATTATTGAATGAGAGAGGTTCCAGGTTGAATTGAGGCGAATATTTGTCATTGTTCAAATGATAATAAACATTAGCATAAAGCATATTTGTCCACTCATATGTTGATAAGAGTATTAAAAACTTGAAAAATATTCCTCTAAGGTACATTTAGAACAGATAAAAAATGTGCGATTAATTTGCGATTAACTATGGACAATCATGCGATTAATCGCGATTAAATATTTTAATCGACTGACAGCCCTAGTCAAAATACCTATACCACAGGACCGTTTTGTTTTTTTAAGCAATATTTTTAATGGCCCGAGCGGGCAAGTGGAAAGTATGTTATGCTGGCCCGGGGTGTCTAAATAGTGCTTCAGGGCCAGTGGGCCATTTATAATGTCGAGCCCTGGCAGGTTTAATGGCTTACTATGCTCAAGACTAATTAAGACCTGTCAACAACAACCACATGTGGAAATTAGCAGGAGGAATGCTCACTTTGAAATATAAAACTGGATGGCTGTGGTTCCGTGGGTAAGTGCACTGATCTTCGGAGCAGGGGAGACTGGTTAAATCCCCACTGCAGTCAGTTAAGGGTGTCAAAATTCAGAGATACCCATTTCCAAAATATCAGTACACAACAAACATACACACATGGATTTAAAATGTTGTTTTGGCACAACCACAGAACCAAATACAATTCTGAATGAAATTTACAGCAGACAATACAGCTATGAAAGCTGGGCCTGTTACAAGTATTTAAAATTCTACTTTTGGGCCTCCCCCACTGGACCTGGACTTTTATTTTTGCTGGGTCCAACCAGCAACATTATGTAAAAACAATTACATTTAAACTCCTGCACTGTGAGAAAATTCACTTCAAAATGCATTAAAAAAAACTGGGCAATATTCTGCAGGTAAGTGAAAACTGAAATAATGCTGCTGTAGTTTGAAATCTCCCTCTTAACTCAGTATAACATTTACTGATGAAGAAAACTGTCTAAAACTGACAATTTCAGCAATTCTGCTCTATTCAGATGATACAAGAACACAACAGGAAACGTTACAAAATGTTAACGGTTTACCATAGACCAAAATGTCTTTGTTGTAAGTTATATTTTCAATACCTTCGCAGCTTTGTCTTTTATTTAATATTCACAATACTATAAAACACTATTGTTATTTACTAGAATCTCGACCAAAGAAATGTCTCAGCAAACTGAAATAGCAAATGGATATTTTCAAAAGACCAAATCTGTACGTAGTATTATAAAGTATGTAAAATAATTTGATAGGGAAGAGGCCATTTAACAAACTGTGTTGAGCAAACTGAGCTCTGGCAGGATTTCCCAGACGTTGAATATGACCATTATGTACCAAGACTTTTGTGTATGTGCAGGGTTTCATGAGTATCGTATGCAGCCAGGGGGCGACTGAACATTTCCCAAACAACAATTGTACATAGGAAGCTAGTTAACGTGAGCTTGCTTAGAAAGCTTGTGTTTAATTGAAAATAATACGAGTACATAAATGTCGAGGGCTCATTGGGAGTGATAAAGCTACAGACAGGCATAAATAAAAATCAGCCGCACACGGCTTCAACTGAACGTGAAGCTAATAGTGTGGTCAGACGATAGCTAACGCTATCTGCACTTAGCTAAGGCTAGTTAGCAAGGGGAGAAAACACAGTGATTTGTAAATCAATAGGCATTTAAGGGTCGGCCGTTTAGCCTGATGTAAACATGACTTACCACGCAATATGGTACACCTCAGCACAAAGTAAAATAAATGTCCAGCAATCCGTTAGTACGGTTCAGGAACGGATGAGTGTTTAGCGCAGCAGGCCAAGGCAGCCTCTCCTGGTCGGCCTCTGAAGCATATTAAGAAGAACCTACAGACCGTGACGTCATGACGCACGTTGCATACGTTTATGATGTTTCTGACATAGGCCCATTCCCAAACCGCCCCCTACACCCGCCCCCTACACCCTACCCCTACACCCTACCACTCCGTTTGCGCGTTCACGCGGAGGGTCCGCCATATTGAGGGCTGTTCCAAAGCAACGAGTGTGGAGGGGGAGTGGGCTATCAAGCCCTCAAACAGCGAGTCTGCAGCGGTGCTGACTTGAGAC